ATGGTGACTGCTCCAAGTAGGCTTCATGGCTGAGTGGCAATTTGAAATCTTTTTTTCTGGAGTCCTGATATGACACCCTAACCACTCTGGCATCATACTCTTTCCCTTTCCTTTGAACAGTATATTGTAAAATAACCTTCCTTTTCCTTTCTCCTCCACCTTTTAAAGTCTGATTTTTTCCCACTGAATCATCTACCTGTTCATTCAATGCCTAAATATTAAAACAGCAACACGGACACTCAGCCATGTATTTCATGTTGCTTACATGCCTAAATATTTCGCCTTTCTACCATCACCTTATCAGAGACCTTGTAAAAAAATAACATTTCTATGATACTCAACACTTTGTTATAGCATTATAAAACCACTTTTTTAATTCTGCACATTAAGGGGCTGTTTCAGCTGCAGAATGAAGACACTCAGTTCTAGAGGAAAGCATCTCAGTGGACAGAGGAGACAAAGCACCCCTCTCTCAGCATTTCTTCCAACCCCGCGAGACACAGAACGTTTAGCTGCTACAACAGAGAAAGACAATGCGTATGTCTTGTCCTCCCCTTCAGGGAACTGCTTATAACTGAGTCTACAGGAGCAAAGTAAAACAGATAAGCAAGTTGGGAGAGGGAGAGATCTCTGCCAAAATGATTTTGTAGTTCTTCTCATAGTATACCATACAGAGGCTATAGGTGAAAATAGTAGTTATACTTTTTCACGATTTATTTTTTGAATACCTCACAAATAACTTCCCGTCTGCTCAAGATTTCAGCTGCCAAAACCCAAAGATTTCTGTTCAGCTGAGGCTCATGGACTATACAGCAGCTCTGGCCCTTTTGCCAACCAGCCTTAACTGATTCTAGCAGCCAATGAACCACCTCAAGGCCAACAATCTTCAGCCATAACATACTGAATTACTCCACCAGTGGCTTCCACTTGCCTGGGTATTAATCGGTAGGAGTAAGTACACTTAGGAGATACCATTCACTGATAAATGTTCCAGGAACACTTCGCTACTCCATCAAACATTTCCTCCCCAAACATGCCTTGAAATTTCCTTTTCCTCCTTGTCTAGGTCATTACTTTCTGAAAACAAAACAAACAAAAGATACTTAATAGGTCCAACTCTTGAGCATGTTTACAAGAGAAGGGCAATGGAATATGTGCATTACTAAGGACAAACTAGGTCACGCTTCAAACCCGCCAATATCAAAACACTTGATACTTTTATCACCACTGCGCTTAGCAGCTATGGACACTACAAAATGAGTTCTTTATTATTATTACAAGTCCCTTTCTATAGCTGGTTTTTACCTGCCAGTCTTGGCTCCCACATTATCACGGACAATCCGGAAAGGTGAAATGAATCTTTTAAAAGGGTGTGGGAGAAGAAGGATCAAACTAAGCAGATCACAATTTAAAAACTAGAACAAGCCATCTGAGAAATTAAGTTTAATGTAACTGCTCTGTCGACTGCTTTGTCAGCTGCAATTCTATACAACCAACGTTTGAAATGAAGAAAAAAAAAATACACAAGATATCTTGTACTTAATGACTCATTTGGCAGCCTTAAGCAAGCAGGAATACTATGCAAGCGAGTGAAACGAGAGGGAGGGGATTGGGCCACTCAATTTCTCCTCTGCTAGTCCACAGCAATACAGTAGCTTTTAAAAAACCACCCAGTCATGAGGCTAGAAACCTCCCATCTCCACACAAGCAAAAAAGGAGTGGTTCCCAACTTTGGGTCCCCAAATGTTCCTGGACTAAAATTCTTCACCACTAGCTGTGCTGGCCAGGATTTCTGGGAG